TGTATTATTTGTTTGTTTGTGTGTGTGTGTGTGTGTGTGTGTGTGTGTGTGTGTGTGTAGAGAGAGATTGAGAGGGATATGGCAGATGCTCTGCTGTCTTATTAATGATGATTCAATGCACTGCACACTAGATCTGTCAACTAATCCTCAGGGGTTTGTGCTCTTTTGAGTGTCAAGAATTTTATTGCCACTGACCTGAAACCAATTTGTGTTTTGTTAGGATTAAAGATTCAGATCAGAGAGGCAGACACCCAGTGCTATGTTTCTCCATATGCATTTAGCATTTAATATTCTACGATTCCCTGTTGATCAAAACATAAGCAGAGGGTCTGTTAAACACTGCATCTCAGTAACACTTTTTTCCTTGAAGTAACATCCATCACATCTTATCTGACCAATCACAGCCAAGCATTTAGATTCTAAGGCCTGTTTCACCGTCTGTGTTCTGTGAAGTGCACATTTATTTTGGCACCCATATTAAGTGGTTAACTTACATCATCCATGCTAAACTCTTATTTATGATCTTTTTCACATGCAGTGATTGATGCACAAAAACCCTTTTATTCAGTAAATCTGACCGAATTCAGACAATATAAGCAATTTATAGCTACACTTTGGAGTTTGGGTCCAATGTAGACTTATTACCATTTAGATGTACGCTACTGTTCAAAAGCTTGGGATTGGTAAGATTTTCGTATTGTTTTTGAACGAAGTCTTATGTTCACAAAGGCTGCATGTAAAATGTCATTTATTCCTGTGATGAATTTTCAGCAGCCATTACTCCAGTCTTCTGTGTCATATGATCCTTCAGTAACCATTCTAATATGCTGATTTGATGGTCAGGAAACATTTCTTCTTATTATCAATGTTGAAAACATTTGTGGCACTTAATATTTTTGTGGAAACCGTGAATTTTTTTTTCAGGGTAATAGAAAGAACAGCATTTATTTACAATCATTGGTAACATTATAAATGTCTTTACTGTTACTTTTTGACAGTTTAATGCTTCTTTGCTGAATAAAAGTAGGCTATTCATTATTTTAAAAAGAAAAAAAATCTAACCTCAAACATTTGAACGATAGTTAGATTTCATGCTGGTCAAGTTTATAACATTCTTTATGGCCCACTTTCAATAACCATTTTATAAAATAAAATAATAGGCTTTGTTTAAATAAACATTCAATTTGTAAGCCAGGAATGACTTTCTGTACAGATGCGTAGGTCTGTTACACAGCAGAAAACACGGTTAGTTTGAAAGAACAATGTGAACCTGTTGTAGTTGTTGCTTTGCTTACACTTCACAGACACAAAATGCGTGAAACAGGCCTGAAAGAAACCAAAGCATTTATGTTAGCCTTCCGAACTCTGAAATACTTGTTTACTCTAGCACTCTGCCATTCCTCAGGATGGGGTGGAAAGTGACAACATCAGGAATACAAGGAGTAGAATGACTCCTCGCCTACCGCCTCATCAGGAAGAGGTGAGTGACCACATTCTAATGCTCAAGCACTAAGTAAATTTATTTAAAAAAAAAATAAATGTGTTCCATCATAATGACCATTGAAATCGATTTCACAGTTTGATACAGAAATATTTGTTTAGATTAATTAAGACATGTAATTAGGTAGAAATGAGATGAAAGAAGGAGGTATAGACAGCGGATGAGAAGATAATTTGGCTCAGTCACTGCATCACACACGCACACACTCATAGACTGTGATTGAGAGAGTCGTGAACCCTGATCATAGAAGTGTCGAGTGATTACAGTGAGTGATGAACTCTGTTCTCATTCCTCTCAGCCCTCTAATGCCCAGGAGTCGAACCAAAAAGGGAGAAAAGACAAAACGATGCAGAAGATTGGAGACTTTCTTCAGGGCTCTCCTACCTTTCTTGGAAGTAAAGGTATGAAAAAAAAAATCCATCATTATTATAATTCCTAGACTTGCGTCAGACTAAGGCATCTTATTTGTATGACAATCACGTTCTTGCTCTGTCTCAGCAAAGAGGATCATGGGATTGATGAGCGGAAAGTCCCCTGATGGTGGGGCGATGTCTTTAAAACTCAAATCCAAACGTGACAGACGGAAACACGACAGGCCAGATATCTCCTCCCCAATGGAAATACCAGCCCATCAGGTACTGTACTGTTAAACTTACACTAACATTCAGTTAGTGTTTTTGAAAGAAGTCCTATATGTTCACCAAGGCTGCATTTATTTGATTAAAAATACAGTAAAAACAGCAATAATGTGAAATAATATTACAATTCCAAAATGTTTTCTATTTTAATATATTTAAAAATATAAGCTTATTTTTTAGCAGCCATTACTCTAGTCTTTATTGTCACATGATCCTTCAGAAGACATTCTAATATGTTGATTTGGTGCTCAAGCAGCCCTCTACGGACACCTTGGCAATTGAATCGCCATTGGCTAGTAAATTTTTTCGTTTACTTGCCAGTCTGATATACTATATATAGATATGTATATTATATATATTTTATATTTTTTTATATGTTATATTTATTTTACAAACATATGCATGCATATATATATATATATATATATATATATATATATACATATAATGTTGTAAAATGGCACAGCTTTTTAAATATCTGAAAGTACACTCTTAACATCAGTCAGTCAAGCATTATAATATGATATTATGATAATCAAGTATCATTTAATGATAGAACTTTAACTTGAATTAAAACTTCGTAACCTTATATGGATGCATATTAGTCATTTTAACTATTAAAAATACAGTAAAAACAGCAATAATGTGAAATAATATTACAATTCCAAAATGTTTTCTATTTTAATATATTTAAAAATATAAGCTTATTTTTTAGCAGCCATTACTCTAGTCTTTATTGTCACATGATCCTTCAGAAGACATTCTAATATGTTGATTTGGTGCTCAAGCAGCCCTCTACGGACACCTTGGCAATTGAATCGCCATTGGCTAGTAAATTCATAAGGATTAACGAGCTGCTGGATTCATGAATATTAATCAGGTTGTGTGCATTCGCTAGAATTGATTTGCTGAATTCAAATCAGGGACAATAATAGGTGAGCGCCAGCCAATGAGATTGCGCATTTTGCATTTTGTGCATTAGTTCCGCCCACTACCGGAGAAAGCGGCAGTTCTTAAAATCTGAAGAACTCCAAAGGAACTCTGTTATTTTGACAGGAAAATACAACAAATAATATCGTTTACATATAGCACGTCAATTCTGCATGGTATGTAAGACTCTGTTGCTCTGTCTTTCTCTTTGCGTGTGAGAAAGAAGCAAAGTGACGGCGAGTCGTGCGCCTTCACACTAAAGTTTACGGTACGCGAAATACAGGTGCGCTGCGCATCCATAGAGATGAACTGAAAAATAGCTAGATCGCTTGACAGAGAAAACTCGGAAGCGCTCAGTCAGTGTTCTGTGAGTGAAAATATATCTGTGCTTAACTTATACTTGGCCTCCAACTCACACACTGGCGAGTAAAATCTAAGAATTTATTAGCCTCATGATGCATTTTTTGCATGATGCATAGGATTTTTTGTTAAATAAAAGTTCAAAAGAGCAGCATTTATTGGAAATAGTCACTTTTTATCAATTTATTAAATATCCTTATTATTCTGAATATCCTTGCATCCTTATTAAATATAAGCATTCATTTCTTTAAAGAAAAAAAAAATCTTACAGACCCCAAACTTTTGAAAAGTAGTGTACTTTATGCTGTAAATGTGTACAATGAATTTCAACTTAAAATGACATGAATGTTCTTAGTGACATTTGACCTTCCTTGTAGATCATTGGCCGGAATCGAGAGAAGAAAGAGTGAAAACCTTATCAAGAAATGTCTTCGTCCTATGACCGCGAAATAAGCTGGAAGGAAATGTATTTTTATTTAAATGTTTTTTTGTATTTTTTTTGTATTTTAAATCAAACCAGTTTTTAAAATCTTTTTTATTTTAATCTGATGCACTTTTCATTTACAATATCTATAAATTCTCTTTTTACTTTTTATCAAATATGGCACATAATATATTATCCTGGAAATGAACTAACACTACCGCTGATTTTAATGGCAAGTTGAGATGATGGACAGTTTCATAAGCTCATGTATGGAAGAATGGACAGATTTTTGCTGCTTGAGTTAGAATGGAAGTTCAGAAATCACTACTGCACATTTTTGACACAGGGTTTCCTATTGCTGTATACTTAAACCACGTTATTTGTTTACATTGTGCTTATGCTGCCCTGCATGTAAAAGCAAAACTGTTGTTTCCCCCTAACCACTTTCTACTTTTCAAGATATAAAAATGTACACACACAAAATATAGCACAAAGTAAAAGTTCAAAGGTTTTTGTGATTTAAATTTTTCATCCCACTTGTCAACCTTCTTTTGTTTATGTATGTATCACCCTGTCACAAACCATTAATATGTCCCATTCACATGATAAAGGATCTCCATTACCACGTCAGTAAAACTGTGTGCCAGATGCCTAATGACACCCAAAGGATTATTCATTTGAATTACTGAACAAATGCTTATGTAACAGACGGGTAATTGAATTTCCCGATCGCAGCGCGTGGCCCCGTGCCCTTATCTAAGATGGCATAAAAGGAGAGCGGGGAAGGGTGAGGAACTGGGAACAGGTCTATGTTGTTGTTGGCTCTGAATGACAGGATGTGAATGGGGTGGCTGCTTGCAATGATGAATCACGGTTTTGATAGTGTCAAAAGTGTGGGAGCATGTGGAGAAGACAAAATAGAGGAGTGAAAACCGACTGAGGAGGAGGAATAAGGAGAGATGAAGAGGAAGAAAAAAACATACAAAATCAACCATGTGCAGCCCAGCTGTGCTTGTGCAGGTCATTGAAGTGCAATTTTCCTCTGATTTCATAATTGTGAATGTTAGAAATGGGGTGTGAAAAACTTCATAAACAGTCTTGTTTTCTTTACATGCCCTTATATATATTTCCTTCCGGTCTACTTCTGCACACGTGCATGATGTACATATAGATGTTCATGTGCTTCCTAGTTAATGTAGGGTCATGACAGACTGTAATCATGAGTTATATGTCACTTTTGTTTTTTTGCGCAAAGTGAGTCAATGTCCGTGTCATTTGATTGCGTCACTTAATTGATGCATTGACACACAAAGTCTAGTCATTTTATTTTTTTTCTCATTTCTTTTTGTCTCATTCCTCTGCATGCAGAAAATGACGGGGAGGCATGTAAGCATCAGCTTGATTCGTAGCATCCAGGCCTGGTAAACTATGCAGTAATAATCATCTGTAGCTATAATTTAGGGCAGAATATTACCACATCATTTGAAATGATAAACAGGCAGAGTGCAGCTCTTATCTTTCCTGTCACTGTCATGTGCTGAAGAGACAGAAGAATCGAGAGCCTGTGGGGATGGGTCTAATTGCTTGGCCTCATCAGGAGATGCACTTTAAATAGGTTTGAGACAAAGTAGTGACTTAATCGAGAGGAATGCTGGGTGAAGATTTCCACTTTGTGTATCTGATTGCTTTAATCCAACCAATTTGTTCAGACTAAGAAAATTGATGCTCTGTCGTCACATGTGCCATCTTGCCCTATTTGTGCCAGGGTGAGGATGAGTGACTATAATTTATACTGTTCAAATGAAGTGTGAAACATCTTGGTTGTACATGCATGCTGAAACAAAATTAAAATCGGTGTTTAAAAAATGACCAGTGGTGAAACTGGTGGTCACCCACACAGAGTTCACAAACATTTTTTGCATCAAAAGGCACATGAGGTACACTCAAAAAAAAAAACTTAGGCCTTAATTTAAGATTTCTGTATTTGAATTGCATATATAATTTACATCCAAACATTTTTACAAACTTAATGTGATGCATATTTGTGAGTCACACATAAAGTAGCAGGTAGAGAAGAGATTTATCATCAATAAATCTTATTTATTTCAAGCTCATACATTTAAACTAATTGAATGTTGCTTGTTCCAAAGCAAGCAATATTTTGTTCATACTTTTTAAAGGGGTCATATGATGCGATTTCAATTTTTCCTTTCTCTTTGAACTGTTACAAGCTCTTGGTGGACTAAAGTCTCAAATACAAAGAGATATTCTTTATAAAAGTTAAGAGTCAACCATGCCTACCTAAAACGGCTTGTTCTAACACGCCCCCACATATCTACGTCATGATGTGGGAAGATTTTCATAACGCTGCCCAAATGTTCACGCAAAAAAAAAAGGCGTAACTTTTATTCTCGCTGTAGTAGTATTGTTGTTGCCGCCGCCGCCATGTCGTGAAGGCGCTGTGTGTTTCGTTGTAAAAGCGAAACTACTTTGTTTGGCCTTCCAAAAGAGGACGATATCTGCTTCGTCATGCCTAGAGCTGATCTGTGCTGGTCGCTGAGGAAATACATCAACTTCGCGCTGTGGATCGCTGGATCGGCTTTCACCGTGGAATCACAGCACACCTTGCTTTTCAGACCGATGAGCTTTGTAAAAATCGACGTGTTTCAGAAAGGCGGGGCATAGAGGAAAAAACAATAATGTAGCCTACAGTATGTGGAAAATAATGTGTTTTTTGAACCTTAAACCGCATAAACACATTTCATTACACCAAATACACAAAATAATGTTCTTTTTAGCAGCATCATATGACCCCTTTAACTGAATACATTTAATTGTTTTCACAATTAACAGATTTATGCTGATTCTAAGCTATTTGAATAAATGCATTTTGATATGATTAATGATTATTGATTCAATTTATGATTAAATATGATTATTTAAATAAAATCAAATAGATAGTCAAAAAATACAAATAGTTAAACTATGCCATGTATTTTTTATTTTTTTTTTTTTGAGTGCAGAAATCGTGCCTGTTTTGTATACCTTTTTCATTTAGGCTATACATAACTGACAAGTATGCATGGAAATTTTTATAGGCAATTCAAATGCATAAATCTTAAATTTAGGCCTAATATATTTTTAATGGCACTGCGGAATGAAAACATCAACGGGTCTAGAGGTGCGTTTTTATTTTTACTTTAATTTCATTTTTTATCAACTTTTTATTTTAAAAGTTGCATTTCTTAAAACACGCGGCGCTACTGTCAAAGACGTCAGTCTTGCATGTTTAAAGAAATATTTTTAAAACCTTTAACTTTAACCAGACAACCCTATTTTTGTATGGCCATCACAAAAACTCCTTAGGCGGGGGACATACAAAATAATTAAAAGTTCTCTCCTGAACGGCACCTTCACTTCCATTATTAATTTATCTTTTTGCGGATTAATATTCACAGACACTATAGTCCATATTACGTTTTGATTCAAGTGTACTGACCTACTTTTGATTTATTCGTCCAAAATGTGGCATATTCCTTGACATTCCGCGTAATAGGAGTTCCGTTTTTATGACTGGATTCTACAAACCACTCCGTGTTTTCCGCATCGCGGCCGTATGTCTCATATTTTAGAGTAGTCAGTGCAATTTGGGAAAGAAATCAATTAAATCTGAATGTGGACGCGTGTAAATATTCAAATGTAACCCCCTTTGTAATCGTTAACATTTTCATAAGTAACTGTAATTAAATTACACATTTTTTCTTAGTAACTGTAACTGATTACAGTTACATTTATTTTGTAATTAAATTACGTAACGCCGTTACATGTAACTAGTTACTCCCCAACACTGATTACGCCTATAGAAAAATAATGAATTATGTGTGAATGAATTTGCTGTTGGAACTGTACGTAAGTGGACCTCTATTTATTTTTATATAAAAGCAAATGTGAGCATTTCTTCAGCCTAGGAACGGCTGGTCACAGCTACTGTGCTTAGGTTCCTTTTAATTCTTTCCCACAGCAGTGACACATTTGTGTGTGTGTGTGTGTACATGTTTTTCTACACTGGTGGGGACTTAAACCTGAATACACAACAACTCACCGTGTCACCGTGGGGACCTAAATTGATGTCTCCATGGGTACAGAAGCTTATAAATCATATAGAATTAGTTTTTTTGAGATTGTAAAAATGCACAAAGTTTTCTGTGAGGGGTAGGTTTAGGTGTAGGGTTGGTGTAGAGAGATAGAAAATACAGTTTGTACAGTATAAAAACCATTATGCCTATGGGGAGTACCCACAAGGATAGTGAAACAGACTGTGTGTGTGTGTGTGTGTTATAAAAGCATTTAGCACCTGCTGTTACATACTTTTCACACCTCCAGCACCCTACAGTTCAGAGTGATTCTGGACATTGTGTATTTACCGTCTCCAAACATAATGGATTTATTAGCGTGTGTTTGGTCTAATAACCCCTGATGAATGTACATGCTGGGCCTTTTATTACGTCACACAAGCAACCCACCATATCAATCTATATTAGAAATGTGTAATGATTTTAAAAGCAATGGTGATAATATTGTTTAGGTTTAAAGTACTTTGTAATCAGTGTTGGGGAAAGTTACTTTTAAAAGTAGTGCATTACAATATTGCATTACTCCATAAAAAAAGTAACTAATTACGTTACTTAGTTACTTTTTTATGGAAAGTAATGCGTTACGTTACTTTTGCGTTACTTTTTAAATCTGGACAGGGCTTGCTTCTTTGTTTTTAAAATAAAAAAGTTCTATTTTTGGCAAATATAAAAGCCTTTTCACACCAAAAGTGAAATGAATAAGCCTCAGGCTGAAGGGAAAGTACATTTACGTCCGTACAGTAGAATGCAGAAGAAGAAATTGTAACTTGCATTACTTGTAATATATTACCCCCAACACTGTTTGTAATACCATGGTATTCTGTGAAGAGGATGGATGGATAGATAGATAGATAGATAGATAGATAGATAGATAGTCTTGCCAGGTGTTGTAATTCCTGTTATCTGAACTCTGGCTCATTGCTGGCACATTTTAATTATAGT